CACAAAATGTAATACAAAATGGCGGACGTTGAAGGCGGAAAATTCGCAAAATAATTAAAAAAAATTTTTTTTAACTGTTGACTGCTTAAGTCCGTATCAGATTCTGCAAGCCGATTCGACTGCCAACTGACTACCGACCAATAATGGATCAATCACATTGAATTAGTCTTATTATGATTGTCTTATTATGGTAGTCTGATACGGACTTCAGGGAAAGTGCTGCATGGCACAAAAGTGTATGAGTCTTTAAGCTCATAGATTTTCAAACAAATCCATGAATATTTTTCTACGATTTTTTTTACAAAGTTATATCGTTTTAAAGAAAATGTTACAAAACGGACAAACTTTTTCTTGTAAACTCAGTATAACTCAGAAATAAATTATTAGGAAACTTTATCAAAAAGAAAATTAAAATGAAAATTTCAAATTTTAACTGTTTTTAATTTTGTATAAGTGCGTATGCATATGTATGTGTATGTCCTGCTCTCGACAAACCCTCGAAGAATCAATGATATGTATGTGACAGGAATCTGATTGTGTGTGCGCGCGCGCGCGTGTGTGTGTGTCTGTGTGTGTATTAATGTTTTTAATAATGTGTATTGTCTCCTCTCGCATTTATCAATTCGTGTATTCGTCGGGGCATACTATCAATTAAATATCTTATTTCGTTTTGTTTGAAATTATGCCATTCCTCCTGCACAGTGTTGCAGAGGTAATACACATTACTAAAGACACACATCCCAGTTAGAAATAGTTCCTCGCAAAAACGTTGTTTCGACGTCGTTCAATGGAAAAGTTATCGATTCGAAACTTGCATCGAAATTTCAACATTTTCGAGTGATAAAAAATTACGTATATAGAGAGTGCAGTGAGAGTTTGAATTTTTACATTTTTAACATTTTTGGTATAAATTTGTGATACGTAATCTTATATTTAGAGAATTACATTTTTAACATTTTTAGTATAAATTTGTGATACGTAATCTTATATTTTGAATATTTTCGTTTAAAGATCGAATCGACATTTTTTCGATTTCATTTCGATAATTGCAATATCGCTCTAATTATAACAGCTTTCTCAAAATTTTTCAGAATTTATAGATAATTTTATGACTTTTTAGCAAAATTGTAGAATTTTTTTATACGAATCGGAACATTATTTACAATTGTCGATAAAGTCTACATCTTTTCTTCTAGTAATTCTTTGTATCTTATTTTATTGATCTATTCCTGCTGAATAACATTTTATTTGTACTTTGTAATTTATTTAATATAATCTTATTACGTCATTTTTGCATTGAGGAATAATGTCTCTTATCATAAATGCAACCTATTAGCTGTCTCTTATCATAAATGAGCATAAAATCAAGGAAAATTATCGACTTTATCAAAGTTTAGCTAGACTAGCTTGAATCGATATCGAAACGATTTCGATTTTTAAATTAATGAAATTTAAATGTTGGTCTATCATATAAGTTTCCAATATTATTTGGAAGTATAGAAATACTACTAGTATCACTACTGCAGTAATATTGATACGCAATAGTGTCAATGCTGAGCCAATAATGTTACTACAGTAGTAGTACATGACAACATATGACGTAACATAAAATTACTTCCAGTAATTGTAATATTTGGTTTAAAAAATTTATTAGAGTAAAAAGTACATATATATATATATATA